TGACGAAACGGCCCCGTCAAAACGACCCCGACAAAACGACCCCGTCAAAACGACCCCGTCAAATCGGCCCCGTCAAAAGGGCCAGCGACATATGGACCCCGTCATATAGGCTCCCGACAAATAGGCTCCCGTCATTTAGGCTACCGACAAATAGGCTCCCGTTATATAGGCTCCCGACAAAAGGGCTCCAGTCAATAAGGCTCCTGACAAATAGGCTCCCGTCATTTTGGCTCCCGACATATAGTCTCCCGTCATTTAGTTTTTTCCACAAAACGGCCCCCGTCATTACGACTCCCGACAAATAGGCTCCCGCCATTTAGTTTCTCCACAAAACGGCCCCCGTCATTACGACTCCCGACAAATAGGCTAGCGTCATTTTGGCTCCCGACAAAAAGGCTCCTGTCAATTTGGCTCCAGACAAAAGGACCACTGACACAGTGGCGTAGCTGCCGTAAAGCTAGCGTAAGCAAGGCATGGGGGCCCAAGGCACATAGGGGCCCTTTTCCCTCATAAAAAATTAAAACTTTTACAATGGAATTTTAATATTTGTTACATTTAAATGATTTTAAAAAAGAAAAAGGTTAAAAGTTCCAAAAAGCCCCCCCCCCCCCACCGTTTCGGCAGTGGGATTCAGTGTTTGTGGGTCAAACAGAGCCCAATCGTTATAATAACACTACAGGCGATATCACTTTGTCGTGCAAGACATTGAGAGAATCAGCCTATAAATAAACTTTTTAGCAGTAGTAGGCAAGCATAATAATATAGTATAAATACAAAATCAGGACATATAAAATACAAAATGTTGCCTTCAGAATATTTATATATTAAAAAATATCCATCGTAAGTAGAAGTTGATATCTTCGTTTAACTCCTCTGTAGCCTAACGCAGAGGCGTAGCGAAGGCGAGGCGGGGGGTGCGGACCGCAACGGGTGACACCATTTAGGGGGGGTGACACCAAAGGCAAAAAATTGTAAAATTTATAGAATGAAATGCCATTTTCCAGATCCATTAGTTAAAGTTAAATAGTCTTCTAAGTACAAATCGAAAATTATATCAAGAGGGGGGGGGGGGGGTGTGACACCACGACGTAAACGTAAACTATAAAGAAAACAATGCTACATCCAACTGTATTATAAACAGACTGTAGATAAACATCGTTACTATTAAGTCAGCAGTGATTAAAGCTTAAACACGTACGTGTACCAGTATGTGGCATATATATAAATTTTAGGCCTATGTAGGCCGACACACACACACACACATATATATATATATATATATATATATATATATATATATATATATATATATATGCTTTGTTTCCTGGGAGGGGGTGACAATACGAAGTGCCGCACCGGGTGAGACCCGACCTAGCGACGCCACTGGCCTAACGGCTGACGAAGGGGCCCACTGATAATTTTTGCATAGGTGCCCAAAAATCCTAGCTACGCCACTGCACTGACAATACCGTTTCTGTAGAGACTAAGTCTCCCGGCAAAGCGGTCTCATTGAATATGACATCTGCCAGTGGGACCCCTTCATCAATATTCTTTAGAGTTAGCTTATCCAACACTCTTATGTAATACAACGTATGCATCTCTTGTTCGGCAGGCCTTATTTTTATATTAGTTTATCTATTATAAAATATAGTATGTTTTAATTTAAAGGTCATCTATCTATGACATCCATAATTGAGTCGGTTATAGGCTGTTCCAACTCATTGTGTGGGGAGAAGGGTCCACGCTGTACCTTCCTAACTGCAATATGCTTGTACAGGGGCGTAGCGAGGGGGGGGGGGCGGGGGTGCGGACCGCACCGGGTGACACCATTTAGGGGGGTGACACCAAGGCAAAAAATAGCAAAATATATAGAGAAAAAGTTGAGGGGGTGGGGGTGCAAATCGAAAGTTTGGGGGGGGGGGGTGCAAATCGAAAACTTGAAAGTTTGTCCCCGGGAAGGGTCGCAACGCCTCTGGGGGGGGGGGGGTGACACCATTAAGTGCCGCACCGGGTGACACCCGACCTCGCTACGCCACTGTGTGTTATCAAAAACAAAAATGCTGTTATGTTAACATCATGTATATCATACATTTACACTTCTGTGCTCGCTTTTAAGCAACAGATCTTTTCTGTTGTAAATTAAACATTATCAAAACTTTAGAATTGGTGGAATTTAGCTGTTAAGGGCTCAATTTGTTTGTGAATTAATGTTGGTTCATGAAAAAATAATTTCATTCGGGCATTAAAAAGAGGTTATGGTGGTATTGGAGGTAGGACACAATGGTTACTTTTATGCCAATAGTGGTCATATCATTCATTTTTCTGGAGCCAATATGTCGGGAGTCATTTTGTCAAAAGCCAATATGTCGGAAGCCCAATTGCCGGGAGCCAATATGTCGGGAGCCCATTTGTCGGTAGCCAAAATGTCGTGAGCCCATTTGCCGGGAGCCCATTTGTCTTGAGCCCTTATGTCGGGAGCCAATATGACGGGAGCCGCTTTGTCGGGAGCCAATATGTCCTGAGCCTATTTGTCAGGGGTTAATATGTCGGGAGTCCATTTGTCGGGAGCCTAAATATCGGGAGCCCATTTGTCGGGAGCCTATATGTCGCAAGTCAATATGACGGGAGCCCATTTGACGGGAGCCAATAAGTCGGGGCCCTTTTGACGGGGCTATTTTGACGGGGTCGGTTTGTCGGGAGTCGATTTGACGGGGTCGTATTAACGGGGCCGTTTTGACGGGGCCGATTTGTCCCGGGCCGTTTTGACAGGGCACCTATATATATATATATATATATATATATATATATATATATATATATATATATATATATATATATATATATATACACACACATATATATATACACACACATATATATATACACACACATATATATATACCGATATATATTAATATTAACTACAATTTAAATCTTTAGCTTCTTAAGCTATGGGCAAAATTACAGCCAAGGAAACTATTCAATGGAAAGGCTAATTAGTCTGTAGATGTAAAAACAATAAATGAAGCAATAAATAAAATAAAAAGTTAATGACTACACATACAGATTTCTCTCAGCAGTATAAATATCCCATTCATTAGGATATTGATAAAGGCACGCTAATCTACTGGGAGAGATAACCCATCGGTTTAATCAACAGCCAATCTGGCATCCCTGTCCTGCCATCTCTGTCCTGGCCAGGCTGTCCTTTGTTTTGTAATGAGACCCACAGGATACCCCATGTTTTGACGAGGTTAATTGCATGCTTGTTGTTGTGTTGCCAGCGGACCAATATGAAATTCAGACCAAAGTAATATTCTCGACCGAAGTTATGTTCTCGATCAAAGTAAAATTTCGATCAAAGTAAAATTCGATTAATGTGAAATTTTGACCAATATATTGAGCTTTGGCCAAAGTAATATTCTTGACCAAAATAAGATTTTAAACAAATGGAAATCTCAACAAATGTGAAATTTCAACCAATTTCAATCAAAGTTTAATTTTCGACCAATGTAAAATTTCTACCAATTTGATTTTTTTTCTCAAGAACGCTAATACACGCTAATTTCATCTATCATTTTGTTGAAGTCTGTATTTAATTTACATACAAGAAAATAGAAAACCAGGGGCGAGAATTCAACTCTTATTGATTACACCAGGCAGTCATAAAATTATTGTGTTTGGTATTCATTGGGGTGCGTGTGTTTGTGTGTGTGTGTTCGTGTGTGTGTGTGTGAGTGAGGGTGGATGGGGTTTTGGCATGGTAGAATTTCACATCTGCATGAATGCCTTTATTAAAAATGAATACAAAAAGGAATCCGAAAATGCGAAATATTGGAACAATGACAAATTAAGTATCAGATCTTTTTTATTGGGAAAAAAATTCAATCATTTAAAGGTAACAATATACAAAATAATCATCAGTAACATTGCAATTAATTTAATAATTAGATATCAATTGTAATTTACACAAGCAGACGAAACAAAGTTGGACATGTTAAAGAAACTAACGTAGTTTCTGGTGTTTCCATAAGAAAAAGCTTTGACAACAAGCATCGTCACATACACACATACACACAGACCATATAGTCTTAACATAAGGTATTGTCACACACACATACACACACACACACACACGCGCGCACACACCCGCGCACACATGCACACTTACAGACACAGACACACACACACACAATGGTCATGTATTTCATTTTAAGTCCCTAACTCTTTAATCATGACTGACACACTTTAAGTCTTATAAATAGTCATAAGTCACTTACACTTTATATCTTACAAATAGTCATACGACACTTATACTTTATGTCTGACTAACAGTCTTACATTTTTTAGTTTGATGTATACTCACGTTTCATTCACACTTCTTACAATAATTTAGAAATAATGATTATGTAGAATAGGGTTAACCAGTATATTTAATTTAGATAGTTACAAACACAGTGATTTGATCACTCGATGTTATACAGATATTGAATAAAAGCACAAACACAAAAAATTCAATAAAATTATTAAAATAATTTAAAATAAATATCAATGATATTTTTTTTTTAATTCACATGATTTCTAAGTTTAATTTTTTATTAATCAAACATAAATCGACAAAATGTTCTATTATAAAACTAATATTATAACATTTTAAAAGTATTTAAAAGTATTTTATCATAAGACAAATCAATTGAAATAAACGAATAGTTATTGGACGAATGCTAATTTCTGCTAAGACTATAATATAAATATAAGCACAAAAAAAATGGTTCTCGTTTTTCTCCGGGGGGGGGGGGGGAGCACTTGATATTTTCGAAGGGGGGGGGGGGGGGGTGGCAACATTTTCCTCGGAGGGGGGGGTGCGGACTCTGGTAAAAAGTATATGTTTTCTATATAAATTCCATTTCTTTCGGGGGGGGGGGGGGGGGGGGCGGTTGACTTTCTTCGGGTCCGGGGGGGGGGGGGGGTGAGAAACACGGTTTGTGAGATAAGGCATACCTGAGCTCTCATTTTAGGGTGTGGTAGGGATTTAGTTTCTGCTTGCTTTATTCATGTTATAAATAGATTTTTTTTAATATTCACAAAAACAACTATGTAAATATCGTGTCTTAACTTTACAAATGATTGAAAAAAAAATGTAAATATAAATAGAGAGAAATAATATAAGATTTAAAACAAGTAATAAAGTGTTCATTAGAATACTGTCAGGGATAAAAATAAATATTGTTATGTACCTAAGTTTTAAACATATAGGAGTTACTTTAGATTATTAGATAATTTTAATACCTGCAGTAAAGGGACACAAACGAAACATGAATATATCGTGAGCATAAAATTGATTGCATCCCTTGAAAATCTGCGCTATCTATCTTTCTAGTAAAATTGACAGGGGATGTCAATTAGCCAAATCCTTCTTATTGTTGAATTATAAAGCTTTTCAACACAAAACACTGTATGGAATTTTTCCATTATGCATAAGTTGTAATTATTAACACGCATAAGTTGACAATATATTAATAAAAATGTTTTAAAAGATTCAACAAATACTTCTTATCTAATCAATTATAAAGAATTTTATATCTAGATGTTAAATATCATAGAATTATCTTTAAAGTTTCATGTCTTTGTTGTTAATCAACATTGAGCTGTGTTGATTGTAGAATGTTAGTAAATAAGAAAATTATAAGACAATGAAAACGTGTTCAAGTTCTTGTACTTTAGTTAGTAGATGAGGAAGGCGACCATCCCTGCTATAGTCAGTGTAGCAAGAAATATGATGTAGGCAACCATCAAGATTGTCAGGATGTTGGATGTTTTGTTGGCTTTATCCTTGTCATCCTCTGATGATGTATCATCTTTTGCAGCTTTAACTGTAGGCGCAAAGTCAGATATTTTTCAAACAAGTTTTTATAGTAATATACATAATGTTATATATATATATATATATATATAAATAGACATTAAATGTTTAATTTATTTTTTAGAAAATATTCTGTTTTTTTTTTATTTGTATTGCCTTCTAAACAAGATGTCTACATCAAGTCTTCTTTGATAATTATTATTGTTGAAAATTATAAAACAATAGCTAATTTATTTTTTATAAAAAAAAGCTCTTTCATCATATATTTAACCTATGTTGTCTTATAAAAATAACAAATAGTTAAAGTTTAAGCTTGGAGTGTAAAGTAAAACTCCCCTTTCAAACCCGATGGTCTATAGGGCAAGCAAAGTAGAGTTTACATAGTTTTTATGCCCAGCTGCCTTTACTTTTCCCTAACACGAGTTAGGTACACATAAGAGCTGGGTGGACTCAGAGACTACTGACTTGAACCTGGATTCAAACTCGAGGCTTACAGGTTAGCAGTCTAGCGGCTCTACCACTAGACCACTCCATCCCAAAAGCTTGAAGTAACCCCCACCAACTTCTGTGTGAGCATTTTTAGAAATCTTTGTTCAGGCTTGTTCTAGAATCTTCTTACCTCTCCAGCTCAAGATCTCATAAGCCACATGCCAGACAATTTGTCCTGCTAACCAAATACCCAGGACAGTAAAGCCAAAAGATTTCATTTCCTCTAGGTTGTGCTCCATCCCAAATCCCAGAAACATTGTCACGCTGGAATCAGAGTTAATGCAACTTTTAAACTACAATTTGAAGACTATTTTTACTCTGGTTATCTATTATTTTTATTCAAAACTACTATCATCACAAAGTAAATTAATCATTAAATAGAACTCTAACTGACATTAATCCTAATAGATTAACCTAGTTAAAAATAAATGACAACATGTTTAAGATTTCTTTCATTTACTTTACAAATAACATACTTTAAATAACAACATAAACCAAAATAGTTTTTTTTTTTTTAAACTAATTTAGTAATGAATGAAGAGATTCTTTGATAGTTTTGATTTACCTTTTTATAAAATTATTTTAATAAAAAAATGATTTTACACTTATTTTTTTTTAAAATATAACATTTAACAAATGATATATTTTTAACTAAAATCATTATATTTGAGAACAACTTAGTTTAAGCTTAAGCAAGTGAACAAATATTTATATGTTTCTGTATGTATACCTGCCAATACATGACACAACTGGCCCAAAATACGATGGCCCCAGTTGAAGTAAACTCTCCATTTGTTATCAGGATTTGGCCGCAACATCCCAGCAATGAGTTGTACGGACACTAGGCCGACAATTACCAGGCCGATGTAAGCGTGGACACCTGCTCCCTGGTTTCATAGGTACAAAACTAATGAACTCATACAATGTTCAAAATAAACTATTAATTGTATGCCAGAATTGTAAATATTAGGATATAGACTACATGTTTAAATTAAATTATGTATGAAATATAAACATACACATAACATACTTCTCTGATTTCAGCACCATATAGTGCAAACATGATAATAAATCCTACATATGTGAGCAAAGCCACTAGAATTGCTAGAGCTCTATGAACCTAAGAAAGGAAAAAAATATACTGCCTTTTTCAAATTATAATTTATTAGATATTATAGATAATTATTATCTAAAAGTTAACGTATAATGTTTATCCAAATGATAGCTAGTGTGATAATATTTTTTTAAATTTAATGTTATATATTTTTTTTATTGTACACAACCAAAAAGGGTTGTTATCTTTTCAATTTAAAACCAGTTTCAAAATAAATTTTCATTTAAAAAATTGAACATCTAAACATATATTATTTATATCATGCAAATTATATTATTTCATTATTTTAAACTGAAGATTATATAATGTATATACCAACACATATTTTGTATATTACTTTAAGATTAGTTTTTAAATGTTCAATGCTATCTTTTAAAATTGATATTCTTTAATTGACCTTGTAATGTTAAAAGTTTGATTAACTTAGTCTACCTGAAACCAAACTTTGGTGCTGAAGAGTTTTTTCTTGGGCAGCCAATCCCTGTAGTGTCTGGAGACCACAGTGACCACACCAGTGAGAAACATCCAGGCAATCATCATCACTGATACTGTCAAATTTAGCATACAATTTTAATTTACTGATTTTAATAATCAACTAAAAAAAAATGTCTCATGATGTCTGAAGAGTTTTAATAAGGCTAGTTCACTATTTGAAATCACTTTTGTGGTTAAAGATTAAGATTTATTTATTGTTTGAGTTAGGTTAGATTCATAATTACATTTAAAGTAATGTTTTCAAATTAGCAAAAAAAAATAATGAGAAGGGTAAATTAACAAGTAGGTTATCCCTAATAAAAAAAACCTCAAAATTTTATGTTTTAGTCAATTATAATTACATGAAGAACCAACTAATTGTATCATCTAATTTTCATGAGATTTTTGTCAGAAAAATAAGTAAATATATATTTACCTACTTGCTAGTCAAAGGGAAGTAACAATGATAAAAACTTACCATGGGCATGAACAATTGCGTGATAGGCGGATCCTCGGAAAATGCTTTTATCTTTCAGGCTAATTTTGTCGAATGATACTGGCGGCATGATCTTGTGTTTGAGGAGGATGGACGAGGCTGAAGAAGTAACATTTTTAATGTCAGTAGAACACGAGAATAAGGATTAAACGTCTCATGTAATGGTGATTTAATGAAGATAATCTGAATTTTTTAAATGTCTGTCCCTTTCTAATTTAGGTTAACTTAAAATTACTATGATGTGTAATGCAAGTAAAATGGTTAACTCTAGTTTTTTATTAGACTATAGTCTATAGTCTATAGTATTATTAATACTTTAGGTCTACCAGCTTTAGTTTACTAAACAGTCTCAATATCCACCCCCCCCCCCCCCCCAAAAAAAAAATAATGAAATGTAAAGAAACGTAATTCGAAAACAAATATACTCTACTAGCTTATTCCCATTTTTCAAGAAATAAAGGAAATTTTTTAAAATATATATGAAGAAATATAGGACTTATTTTGTTGGTATATTGAACAATTCATTTCAAAATATTTTCAAACTTTGATAAAAATCACACGCAAGAAAACACCACATTTAAAAGTTCTTACATGACCAAACATTCCCGAATGCAATCTGCAAGTGCCAGGTGCTACTGTGATCAAAATCTAAATTAATTTCCTTGTAATCTTTGGCTCCCTGATCAATCTTGTACATGATGCTTGTCTTTGGTAGAGTAAAGCTGCACTGAATGCGTCCATTTTCGTGTTTTACTTGAGCATTTGTTACGTATTTCTGGGAGAAAGTGTAAACAGATAATAGAACTAGTGTTTAAGGGTCATCCATAAATGACGTCACGCTTTTTTGACGATTTTTACCTCCCCCACCTCCCCTCCGTCACACATCGTCACAAAAAGCCAGACCCCCCCCCTCTAAAATGACGTCACACCTCAGCCTACAACCCCCTTAAAATTGCAATGGAATTATTTTTAAAACATCGATATTTTTCCCAAATCTTGTCTAAACTCTGTCAAAGTAGAGTATTTTAATCAATTCCTATTCTATTAATTAAAACAGTTTTCTAAAACGTGAAATGACGTTTAAAATTCGTTTTCTAACATTGCTTTTTTTAAATGCAAAACTGTGACGTCGCACCATCTGAACCCCACCCCACCCCCCCCTCCCCCTCATCACACACCGTCACAAAATTACGGATTCCCCCTCCCCCTACGAGTGTGACGTCATTTATTGACGACCCCCTTATGCATTGTGCAGGGGAAATCTGTTAGCATGTAAGGAAAAGTAAATTGAAATAAAATTTAGTTTTTTTAAGTGACTATAATCGTTATAAAACAGTAAAGCCAAAACTGTATGCGTGTAGGCTTTTATATAAATCCACATGGGTGTGTTAGTTTGAGTGTTTGTTAAGCACTTTGGCCTTTATACTTAACTAATTAATTTAATAGTTTTAAGAATAATTTAGTAATTATTTTAAAAATTAGTTTACTACTTTATTAACAGTAAACATAATGTTCTACAACGTAGAATATTTTAACTTCAGTATTAAAGACAACAAATACGAAAATCTAATGTTGATTTTAAAAAAAAAACAACAACCATCACTAGGAGTTTCTAATACGGTAATCACAAAGTAATGGTTTAAAATAAAAGAATCTTACTGTAATCTCTCGCTCATTAGCATACTCAGGATTCCATCCATGTTGGACGCTCATGACGCCAGCGTTACCGATACAAGTCACTGTTTCATCACTTCCCTGGTAGAGTCAAGTTAAAAAACAATAAGTTGATTTATTTCTCACAAACTTGATATGCGAATAGTAACCAAGCTTCTAGCTAGTTTATGTAGCTTGGTTTGTTTTATTTCTGAAAGCTACTGCATTTACATTTCATTGGTTATTTTATAAAATAAAATAAATATGACTTTATTAGCAATATTGTTACAAAAGTTTCATGTGCATTTAGTCGACGTCCTTTACAGATGTCCTTTCATTATTATGTGATATGTAAAATGCATGAAACGTACTCACCTCGAGCAGTTAGAGAAACCAATGTACTCACCATGAGCAGTAAGAGCAACCAATGTACTCACCATAAGCAGGTCGTCAGAGAAACCAATGTACTCACCATGAGCAGTTAGAGAAACCAATGTACTCACCATGAGCAGTTAGAGAAACCAATGTACTCACCATGAGCCGTTAGAGAAACCAATGTACTCACCATGAGCAGTTAGAGAAACCAATGTACTCACCATGAGCAGTTAGAGAAACCAATGTACTCACCATGAGCAGTTAGAGAAACAAATGTACTCACCATAAGCAGTTAGAGAAACCAATGTACTCACCATGAGCCGTTAGAGAAACCAATGTACTCACCATGAGCCGTTAGAGAAACCAATGTACTCACCATGAGCCGTTAGAGAAACCAATGTACTCACCATGAGCAGTTAGAGCAACCAATGTACTCACCATAAGCAGTTAGAGAAACCAATGTACTCACCATGAGCAGGTCATCAGAGAAACCAATGTACTCACCATGAGCAGTTAGAGAAACCAATGTACTCACCATGAGCCGTTAGAGAAACCAATGTACTCACCATGAGCCGTTAGAGAAACCAATGTACTCACCATGAGCCGTTAGAGAAACCAATGTACTCACCATGAGCCGTTAGAGAAACCAATGTACTCACCATGAGCCGTTAGAGAAACTAATGTACTCACCATGAGCCGTTAGAGAAACCAATGTACTCACCATGAGCCGTTAGAGAAACTAATGTACTCACCATGAGCCGTTAGAGAAACTAATGTACTCACCATGAGCAGGTCATCAGAGAAACCAATGTACTCACCATGAGCCGTTAGAGAAACCAATGTACTCACCATGAGCCGTTAGAGAAACTAATGTACTCACCATGAGCAGGTCATCAGAGAAACCAATGTACTCACCATGAGCAGTTAGAGAAACCAATGTACTCACCATGAGCAGTTAGAGAAACCAATGTACTCACCATGAGCAGTTAAAGAAACAAATGTACTCACCATGAGCAGGTCGTCAGAGAAACCAATGTACTCACCATGAGCCGTTAGAGAAACCAATGTACTCACCATGAGCAATTAAAAGAAACCAATGTACTCACCATGAGCAATTAAAAGAAACCAATGTACTCACCATGAGCAATTAAAAGAAACCAATGTACTCACCATGAGCAGGTCGTCAGAGAAACCAATGTACTCACCATAAGCAGGTCATCAGAGAAACCAATGTACTCACCATAAGCAGTTAAAGAAACAAATGTACTCACCATGAGCAGGTCGTCAGAGAAACCAATGTACTCACCATGAGCAGGTCATCAGAGAAACCAATGTACTCACCATAAGCAGGTCGTCATAGAAACCAATGTACTCACCATAAGCAGTTAGAGAAACCAATGTACTCACCATAAGCAGGTCGTCATAGAAACCAATGTACTCACCATAAGCAGTTAGAGCAACCAATGTACTCACCATGAGCAGTTAGAGAAACCAATGTACTCACCATAAGCAGGTCGTCATAGAAACCAATGTACTCACCATAAGCAGGTCGTCATAGAAACCAATGTACTCACCATAAGCAGGTCGTCATAGAAACCAATGTACTCACCATAAGCAGGTCGTCATAGAAACCAATGTACTCACCATAAGCAGGTCGTCATAGAAACCAATGTACTCACCATAAGCAGGTCGTCAGAGAAACCAATGTACTCACCATAAGCAGGTCGTCATAGAAACCAATGTACTCACCATAAGCAGTTAGAGAAACCAATGTACTCACCATAAGCAGGTCGTCATAGAAACCAATGTACTCACCATAAGCAGTTAGAGCAACCAATGTACTCACCATAAGCAGTTAGAGAAACCAATGTACTCACCATGAGCAGGTCGTCAGAGAAACCAATGTACTCACCATGAGCAGGTCGTCAGAGAAACCAATGTACTCACCATGAGCAGGTCGTCAGAGCAACCAATGTACTCACCATAAGCAGTTAGAGCAACCAATGTACTCACCATAAGCAGTTAGAGAAACCAATGTACTCACCATGAGCAGGTCATCAGAGAAACCAAGAGACACATACTTCTGGTCATCGTTGGACATGAGCTCCACAGCGTACGTGTCGTCAGCTGCTGAGTACTTGAATGTTGCTGCAGCCACACAGTCATCACCTGAGCAGCTGGTGGGGTACAGGAAACAACCTTTGACCTTCTCACAGCCAGAGAAATCGATGTTTGCCACCAGGCCACCAACAGCTGGGGTCTGTAACATACAACGTCAAAAGCTTTCGATACATGTATTGCAATGTTTGATGGTATTTATAATTTCTCTTGGTGCACAAGTACCTTTAAAAACCATACGGTCTGTGAGGCAGGTGAAGTAGAATTCACCTGTTTCAGTTACATCGGCATATATAGGGTTAGTGTGTTCAGCACTATGCCCAGCCGCCTTTACTTTCCCTAGCTATTTTCTTCTAGTGGAAATATTTTAAAAATTCAGATGTTTTATCTATCTGGAGCATCAAAAATCTTTTAGAGAAACTACCGTTGATGGACTGCTCGAGTCAAAAACATCGCGGAAACAATTTCCGTAGAATTGAATCAACGACAACTGTATGGGTATACAAGTTTGAATGATAGATATTAAAGGCAGAGTTAAAATAACGGACAGCAGCACCATACATCTATCTATACATAAAAAATAGTGCTACAGGAGTGCTACTTCCAACCACCAAAGCGTGCTCAACTTTATTATAAAAAATCAGACTTTTTTTTTCTTTTTACTGCTTTTTAAACGCAATCAACAATACAGTTAATATTTTAGTAATGCGACGTGCTACGGAACATTAATGCTCTCGTTAAAAAGAATAGAAATGACAACGTTGGATATATTTAAGGTTAGTTACAAAAAATTTATCATTTCAAAAATATTGATATCATCGTTATTCTATAAAAATCGTTGAAATTTAAGTAAAATATATTAACATTTTTACTGAATGTTTTAAGTTTTAGACAACAACTATAATCTAAACATAATGATATTTTACTATAATCCTATTTTATAA